CTTGGGTTGTGTGTTTTCTTTCTTTCTTTTTCGCACAACACTGGGCACGGGACTGGCGCGCACTGGCACTAACACAGGTACACCACGGGAGCCGCCTAAGCGACTCCCTCAAAAGAATTTTCCGAGGAATTCAAGCAACTCTGGCAGAAAAGAACCCTTCCCCGTGTTTATTTCTTTCTTTACTGCACGGGAATCGCGCGAGAAAAACAAATCAGATCTAGAGAGACGGGGAGATGAGACTGGCGGGCAGCCTGCCTCGCCGGAAGTCCCTCTCATCCCTCGTCCTCCGGCAAGACCGAATTTCGGCACGGGTGCAGCTGTCCCGGCGCCGCGGGCAGCGTGCAGTTGACAAAGACGTTCTCGCGCAGCGTTCCTAAAAAAATGAAGACACGCGGGCTGAAAGCGAAAGCAGCATCGCGCGTCGCACTCCTGCGGGTCTCGCGGGAATACGAGGGCTAAGAAAGCAGATCGGGATCTCGCACACTCCGGCATCCAGCAGGAGCGGCGGTCGGTGTCTGGCATCTGGGGCGGCGTGCGGTAGAGGCGGGTGGCGAGCGAGTGGCCCTGGAACCAATAGTTGACGGCGACGTTGAGCTCGCCGGGAGCGGCAAAGCTCTCCACCTGGTGCAGCCAGCAGGCGCGGGCACCTCATCTCGGCTGATCTCGGGTGTTCTCGGCTCATCTCGGGCGATCTCTCCACCTGGTGGAACCAGTAGGCGGGCAGGAAGTGTCTAGGAAGTGTCTAGGAAGTGACCTGGTGGAACCAGTAGGCGGGCAGGAAGAGCGCGGAGCCCGCCGGCACCTGGCCGGGTGGTGGCGAGCTGGCTGGGAGGGGGCGAGGCGGGAGCGCGCGCAGGTTTGGGGCGGAGAGACGCGACCCTCGACGGACATCACGGGGTACCCCTCTCGGCTCCTCTCGGCTCGTCTCGGCCAACCTCGACGGTCATGACGTGCGCGTCCCGGAGGAGCGGGTGGCGGTCGTAGTCGGGGTGCGTGATGTTGGCGAGGGGGAAGTTGTCCACCTCTCGGCTCGTCAGCCGCGGCTCGAACTGGCCCG